AAAAAAAAAAACAAAAACACAAAAATATCAACAAAAACCTAAACTAATACGAAAAGAGAAGCAAAAGAGCCTGGCAGTCACGTTGCAGTTTCACATTCGATTGTAACTGCAATGGGCGTTGAGCTTCCTGAGCCAACCGTGTGTGTGTCGAACGTGACCGACGAGTCCCCACGACGAGATTCACAAATCCATTTCTAGCCCTCGCCACATTCCCAAGAGAATTTTTACCTTTCTCTGTGCCGTGTAGAAAGTCACAGAGGATACTTGAGCTCGAAACAGGAAAACCAATCGAGGCAGTACGTTCAGACACGTCGCGTTTTTGCGCGAGCGTTCTACGGTAGTGCAAGTACGTTCATTGATTGGATTGTTGTGTTAATGCTACGGGGACTTGTCGAACGATATAAAAAAGCACAAAGTAGAAAAGTTTTACGAGTGTAAATAAATTAGACATGAATTAAGAAAAAAAAAAACAAAAAATTACTAAAAGACAGTGATGTGCTACACACAGGCATCACCGATACTATTCATTATCATCGTGAAGAGATTTTCTTTCAATCGAACCTTCCTACGTGAATCGTACGAAGTAGATTTATTTCTTAATCAAATTCGTAAGATATTTCTATCTAGATATTGAACATACAGCTCTGAAGTGACATTTCTATTGCTCAATAATGTGGCACGTGTCGTGTAACGATAATGCGGGGCCAAAGGGAAAGTTTCAAACGATGCCTATAAATACACACTGTTCTCCGGAATACTTCCAATTTCGATGTATCAATGAAAAATTGCTAAATTTTCTTTATAAACAAAAAAAAAAAAAGAAAGAAAGAATAATAATAAAAATTGTAGAAATTGTGTATCGTTGGCCAGGCCCCGGTAGCTTGTGATTGTTTTTTAACTTGGTGTCGGCGGTGTTCACCTTCTCGAAGCTCTTCCACGGCCTAATATATTTGTGATAACCGTAGTTGGTGGAGCAAACGGAGAAAAGGCGTGTCGAGTGGCCGACATTGAGTGTGTTACACGCGGGAAATAATTCTCGTTTCGTCCACGTACGACGAATCGATACGTTTCACAATGTTTCATTCTACTGCCGTTGATTGCGAAAGAGCTTTTTCAGGACATATCCACGTGATCGCGAAGCTCGCTCAGCCTTTTCGTCCTTTACTACTCTCTGTGTGGTTTTTTCTATACGCCTCGATCTCGGTGTTTTACCGCGGAGCAGCGTGAAGTGCTGTCCAGTGATCTAAACGATGATTTACTTCTTGCCACATTTTCACCTATTACGTTTGTTTTTTTTTTTCTCTTTCTTTAATAAATAGAAATATAGAGCGCGAATGAACGAAAATGAAATTCTATGAACCACGGAAACGGCACGAAACGCACGGTAATCGTTATTATTGCTCCAAAGTATAAAGTCCACGGGTTATAGAAATGACTGGTTTGCATGTCGTGGTTTTGTGGAGGGACGTGCATACAAGTACCTGTAATATCCTTCTTCGTTACCTATCGTTTCACGAGACGAGAAGATTATGCAACGCGGCGTCGAGTTAATTTTTTTCTTCTTCTCCTAGCGCATAACTACGTTCATTATATATTAGTCGTTCTTTTTTTTTTTTTTCTCTTTTTTTTTTCTCTCTCCCCTTCATTCCAGAAACGTTGTTTCAGTTCCCACTACCGCCAGTCAATTTCCAAGTTTCTTCTTTCGTTTCACGCATTCCTTTCCAGAACCTGTCCCGGACAAATACACGCGCACACCTTGTAACAGTTACTTTCTCTCTCTTTCATTTTTTCCCATTGCCTACCTTTACGTGTAATCCTGTAATTCTCGCACAACGCCTCTCTCTGTTTGACAGGATACGGTGTAGCGTATTGATATAGAGCCGAGTAGTAGTACCTTTGGTATACACCTAGTCCTGTTTTGTCGTTAAAAAACATTGCAGTGTGAAGTGTGCACGACCATCGGTAGTACTTCTTTCGTAGTAGAAAATGCCTGTGGTGTAATAAGAACACGGCGAATTGGAAATTGTTGGTTCGCCGAGTGTGGAATTTCAACGGTGTTTCCATGTTACGTGGTGTGAATCATGCGTTTCGACAGAATGCTTCTCGAAGTGAAGTTCGTAGAGAGAAAAAAAAAAAAAAACCACCGACCAACGTCGGAATGTTCAGTTATAGAAGAATGGGGCGTGTGATGATGCTGGGATTCTTCTTCAAGATTCGATCGTTCTTTTTCTGGTTAATTGAACCTTTCACTTCCGGAAACTGTCGGTGTATACCATCACACGCGACATGGAACGCGTTTATAATGGTGGATTATGACGAAGAGGGGGTCGTACAGTTAAGATCCTCGTGTAACACGAGTTTTCACCTCCATTTTCACACGCGTCGAATAATGGTACATAATGTCACACAGAGAAGCGGGGTTACAAAGGTTGTCGGAAAATTTCATGGAGAAATATTCGCGTTACACGTCGGATCCGTATCGGCTGTACTTTGGTACCTGTGCATACTTCGCATTTCAATATTACCGATGTAACTCGAGAAAGTCCGGGATACTGCCTGCCGATATTATTTCACGTCGGGATTACGCTTCCTGATTCGGCTTTTACATAGCATTAATAGACATCCTAGAGACTAGATTTCGCCGAGGTGACGCGAAACGGACCGCGACCCAACCCAAGCCCGGTTTTATTCTTGGAGCCGTGCAATTTAACGAGCGCGATGTCCTCGACCCGCGAAGATTTATACGGTTTCCTTCCGTTTCGCGTTGCCTCTATGGGGGCGCATCTTGGTGTGTTTTTTGACAGGAAAAAAAAACAGAGAAGAAAACTCGAAGTGAAGGAGAGAAGTAATAAAGGAAATTGTTGTATCGATCGTGAATGTCGAGAGATATTGTAATACAACATGTTATATTGCTTTCTTTTTAAAAACTCCTCATCACCGGAAGTGCCTATCTCTCTCTCTCTGTGTGTGCGCGTGTGTTCTTTTTTTTTTTTTTTTTTTTTGCACACGAACAATCACGCGTGTGAGATTAATCGCTTGAATATTCTAAGAAGCTCTCGACAAGCTCGACCCTCGCGCAGATTCCTCTACCCGATATACTAAATAGTTACGACTATCAATAACTGCGGCTTGTAACGGTTGTACGTAAGAGAGATGCGCCTTCTCGTAAGAACGAGATATGCGTGCATTGAATGGACAACGTTATGCATCAATAGACCACAAGCGAACTGCAAGCAATAAGGA